AACATTTGGCAAGCTGAATTTGGAGATTTCATTGCTGAGACATTTTTGCAACCCAAGATGCACACCAAACTCGGCTTTGTTTTCGTTTCTACTGTATTCGATATTTGTCTATTGTGTTTATTTCGCATTTATTTGATGAACTCATTTTGATTGAATGATTAACTTGAATTAATGCATGCGGATTCATTGTTGTTCTAAAATTGTTGATATCGCTTGCTTCATTTCTTGTAATTCTAATACTCATCCAGCTATCATTATAAATTAGAAAAATCTGGGATTTGAATATTATTATTATTATTATTAATATTAATATTATTATTCTTTGAGCGGAGGCTAGCGCCTATTGGGCTCACGAAAGGTTCTTTAGATGCTTGAGTAAAAAAAAAAAAAAAAACAGATAAGGCTGACGTATGCTTAAACCAGGAGAAGCTTTGATTTAAAGATATTGACACTTTCAGAATCAATAATATTAGCCGGCAACGCATTCCAAGCATTAAACACTCGGTTATTTAAAAAATGTTCTCGGGATCTGGATTTGTACTTCTCGTGTTTCAATTTCAAACGGTGACCACGCAGGCGATCTTCGCAGCTAATGTGAAATAAGGTGGACAAATCTATTTTCAGGTAGCCTTTTAATATTTTAAACGTCCATACTATATCGTTTCTTAAACGTCTTTCCGAAAGGCCGTTGAGCGATAGTTCTTGAAGCCGTTGAGAATATGGGAGGTCACGAATACTTTTAACCATCTTAGTGGCTCGTCGTTGAGTCCGTTCCAGTAGGGCAATATCTTTTTGAAGGTATGGACACCAAATGACGGCAGCGTATTCCAACAAGGGTCTGACGTGAGATTTGTAAAGAATTAAGAATGAATCTTTAGTTAAAGTCTGAAAACACTTCGATAACAAAAATATTAAGGAGTTAGCTATTTTTACAATTACTGAAATGTGTTCTGCCCACTTGAGATCATTTTGGATAGTGACACCCAGATCCACGTATTTTTCGACCTCTCTTAAGAGTTCGCCTTCAATTTGGTAAGGTAAACAGGGGTTTTTTCCTCCAAGATGAAGGACAGCACACTTTTGTCTGTTGACAGGTATTAAACAAATTTCATACCACTGCAATACCGTCTTAATGTCGTCAGTGAGGATGTCATAGTTACTACTAGGATCACTAAAGATTTTAAGGTCATCAGCGTAAAATGTGTGGTTGGATTTTAAGAGCCGACTCAGATCTGATATATAAATAGCAAATAAAACTGGTCCGAGAACAGATCCCTGAGGGACACCAGACTTTACTGCGTAAGTATCAGAAAATGAGTCACCGATTCTGACATAAAACTGCCGGTCTGATAAAAAAGCTGAAATCCATTCTAACAGATGACTTCCAATACCAGCTTCATTCAGTTTATGTATTAATCTTCGATGGGGAACCTTATCGAAGGCTTTTTGGAAATCAAAGTAAATAACATCAACTGAATTGCCACGATCAATTTCTTTGGTCCATTTATCTAAACTACTAAGGAGGCACGTAACCGTGGAGCGACCAGGCAGAAAACCGTGCTGTGTGGTAGGGATTATATCAGTTTTCATCGTGAAATCAACTAGTTGTTTACAAATTATTCTTTCCATTACTTTACAACACACAGCTGTAAGACTTATAGGGCGATAGTTGCTGCAGTCAGTTTTATCACCTTTTTTGAAAATAGGTGTTACAGATGATATTAACCAGTCGGATGGAAGAGATGAGGAGAGTAGAGACTGCAACATTATGTGAGCAAGTGGTGCGGCTAATTGAAGGGCATATCTTTTCAAGAAAGATGGAGATATATTATCAGGGCCGGGAGCACTATTTTCTGAGAGCGTAAGAAGTTCATGGTACACAACAGTTTCGCTTATTTCGACGGTATCTAAATGAGAAGAGATACATTCTTTTAACGAAGACTTGGAAATATCACTTAGGTTTTCACTACTATATGTGTTTTCGAAGAATTTTGCAAACTCATTAGCAGATTCAAAATTAGAATTACAGAATTGACCACAGCTATTTTTTACAACAGGTCGAGAGACTTTGGCGCAGAGTTGACGTTTTGTATATTTGTAAACCGCTTTTGGTCCTTTATTTACCACAGCATTTTCATATATCTGTCTAGATTTATTTAAATCATCTATCAGCTTGTTTGAGAAAACACGATGTGTTTTAAAATCATCGCTGTTTTTAGTGGTTTTGTATGTACGCCATAGTTTGCGTTTATATTTAATACGCTTCAATAATTCCCCATTGATCCAAGGTTTCATTTTATTCATTCGTTGGTATCGCATTTTACTATTACTAGCAATCACATTATGTAAGGTGTTTTTGAATATGTTCCATAAAACATGAACATCGGAAATAGAGTAAAACTCGTCCCACTTAAGATTATTTAAGAAAATAGACACTTCATTATAGTTTATTACTTTGATAGGTTCGTTAATATTTTGTGGAGGAGAAGCTGTAATTTGAATAATCGTTTCTATCACGGCATGATCAGACTTGCCAATTGGAGAAGATACGTTAATATCAGACAGAAGAGAATCATCATTAATTAAGATTAAATCTAGGAGAGAAGGAGTGTCACCAAGTCTGAAACGTGTAGGTTCTTCCACCAATTGGTAATAATTGGTGTTAAGGTACATTTCAGAAAAAAGAGAACTGGAGTTATTTCCTTCGGGAATATGTGATAACGGCCAACTAATATCAGAGAAATTGAAATCACCACAAACAATTAAGTCACTATAACGTGTAGATAATGCCGAAAGTTCGTTTATTAGAATTTTATCATCTAACAATGAAGAGTTCGGAGCGCGATATATGCAACCAATATGAAAGGATGCTTCCTTAGACGCTACACAGAGGAAAAGGCATTCAATAGTTGATGAAATAACATTATGGGCAATTTCGCTAATTCTAAAATTTTGAAAATCGGTTTTGTTTAACAAGATACACACGCCACCTCCTCTACCTTTACGATCTGAACGATAAATATCGTAGTCAGGTAAGTTGATTACGCTGCTGTCAACTGAGTTATTTAGCCAAGACTCTGATATTGCCATACATGAGGGTTTTTTGTCTTGTACATATAAAATAAGAGAGTTTAATTTTGCAAGTACCGAAGCAATATTAGTGTAAGCCAGGGAAAACTGCATTAATTTGGCGGTTGGTTTATTAGACAGTGGAGAGATGGGGTTGTTGATTACTGGGGTGGTAATACTTTCTAACACGAATTTGGTTGCGTTCGTAATTAATTGCTATTTTCGTAGAAAGTTGTCTTTTTTGAATTGTTCTACAACCGATATATAGACTGGACATCTGGTGTCCCATGCCGCGTGATTTAAGTTAGTTTGAGACTCGTTGTCTTTTAACAACTTTTTGCAGTTAATACAAGTAAGGACCATGGAATTACATTCTGACACAGAGTGATCTAATCCGCATTTTGGACAGGATTTTTTTTGAGTACATGACCTGGAAGAGTGGTTGAAACCATTGCAATTAAAGCAGCGGATCAGATCGATAGCATCATAAGCATAGCAGTAATCGTAACCGATAAATACCCCCCCAGCCTTCATAACCACATCATAAGTTGTTTGGTCTACCTGCAAGAGCGCTTGAAATTTTTTTTGATTTTTTTTCGTGGGCCACTGTTTAAGCACCCTACATTCGGGAAGATAATTGAATGTTGTACTGTTGGTTTTAACAGAGTGTTAATATAATTGAAATAAAAGCACAGATCACGTAGCGAAAGCGGAATACACTATTTCTAGTTCAAATTAGCATTTTTTTTCATATGTCCAAACGGATTTTTAACTGTAAACTCCATGTATAGATCGACATCCTAGTGAAACGAGCAGTTTGGGAACAACTGGCTATTTTACGAAGCCGGAGTAAAGAGTCTAATATGCGGCAGGTGTTTTAGGGATAGAAATGTGTGTGTGTTATACCTCGCTATAGCGTAAAACCATATAAGATTGGTAACAGGCTACGATGAGGAACATAATTTCGGTTCTGGTTACGATATCCTCTGTAAGCCGCTTGCTGATTTCTCCACTACCATAATTTAAATTTGGCTCCACACCATCGTAAAACTTGTGTATTACAGTCTAGCAACTTTATGTAAATTTTGTTTTTATTTTACTTTTACAAAACTAGGGTTGCGTTTCAAGGCCAAATTTTGAGTATTTCGCGAGTTATATAATTTTGTTCACATTTGTCACTACAACCCCTAAACTGGATGAGAATTTATCAGCAGAAGGTATGCACGTAAATAATTTCATCGAAATGAAAGAATTTGTTGGTGTAATTGGCAATATTTAAGGAAATTAATAAACTACGCTAAGAAGTTGATGTGTTAAAGACAACAAACATTGATCTTATCAGACTTTTGAGTAACAAGAGTGAAAGATCGCCAACAACTAAAAGTCAGTCACATTTTTTTCGAAATATAAGATGTTCCGTCTAGAGGTCTCAGGGTTCAGTTTAAGGTCCTCTTTTATTTTCCATTTTTTTAATGATGTGGGTTCGGATATAAAGTCAACATATTCGTTTTTTGCTGATGATTTAAAAATACATTGTGTAATAAACTGCAAACATGATATGTTTGACTTGCAGAGTTATTCAATTGCTTAATTGGTTTGATAGCAGTGGTATGTTTTTTAAACATGACAAATATAAATTAATTAATTTTAGCAGAAATATTGTTCAGTTATCCTCATGTAAATAATAATAATAATTTTATCCACTATTTAAAGCAATTTGTAAATTGTCTCCATGATTTTCCTACCGTTTTCTACATGATATTCCTAACACGTGTTAAATTTCACAAAAATCATCGCAGTAATTTCTGAAATTACCTGTCTAATTAAATTGACAGACCAATCGGAAGACATATTTTATCTATAAAACGTTGAAAAAACATGAAAATAGCCATTCGTCGTATGGACTCAGGTTATTAATTCATTATAGAAGATTATATCTAATACTTTAATTTCTTAATTACATACAAAGAAAAATAACTTGAAAGTGTAGTTATTTTCTAACAAAGTAACAATAAAAAGTCAAATATCAAAGATCTGAGATCAAAGTTATCAATCAACACACACTGATATATATGAAAATCATATTTTCTCTGCATCCAACCATATTTCTCCTTCCGCCGCCAAAACAAAAGAGTTCACTTTCATCTTTAGCGGTTCCATTGTTCTCTTGTTGACTTTAAACTTGTAACTTCTCAGCAAAGAGGTCAAACCTACTTTTGACTGCATCAGACCAAAACGAGCTCCTGAAAGGATACACTTTAATTACCAAAATTTCAAAATTACTACCCTTCTTACCTATGCAAATTCTAGGTCCTTCGCCAAACGGAATGTGAGCATAATTGTGCCTCTTGCTTTTATTCTCTTCGGTAAACCTTTCCGGATCAAATTTTTCCGGCTCCGGATAATAATCTTCGTCATAGTGAATTCCCAACACTGGAATAAAAATAGCAGTGTCTTTCTCAATAACAATGTCTTCATCTGGAATTTTATAGTCCTGCACACATTTCCTGGTAAGTAGAGGAAGAGGTGGGTACTTCCTCAAGGTCTCATTGATCACGAGATCCATATATTTCATTTCTTGTATTGCTTCGTAAGTGATCTTACCCTCGTGCTTTGCCAAAACCGTGTTAATTTCGTTTCTAACCTTATCTTGAATCTCCTGATTTTTGGAAAGTTCGTAAAGCGCAAAAGTCATGGTCGTGGATGAAGTTTCAAATCCAGCGATGAAAAAAACGAAGCTTTGTGCAGCAATTTCGTCGTTGGTTAAAGTGTTACCATCGTGTTTATAGCCGTTTTCACTCGCAAGTTTGTTATTCTTGAGGTCGATTAACAGTTGCATGAAGTCCTTACGAGAAAAGTTATTTTTTTCTCTATAGGCGATTGTGTCTTTGACCACCTTCATGAAGAAACTTGAAACGTCTTTGGGAACTAACGTCACTCCTATTTTTTTAGCTGCGTTTGGAAAATTCCTCAAGAAAATTGACTTCACCATTCTAAATCTTGTCGGCGTGAAGACCTTACGCCCGTATTCCCTAAACGGTGAGTTTTGTTCTTTGAACGTGTTACATTCTAGTCCGAAAGCACAAGAACCGATGATGTCGGTAGTAAAACATCCAAGAGCTTCTTTTATATCAATTGGCGTTTGAGTCACACGATCGGATTCAATTTTCGCTGTGAAATTAGGTATGCAGTCGATCAGCGTTTGGAACATCGTTTTCATTTTCCCTGACGTAAATGTAGGTGTTAATTTTGTTCTTAAATTTCTCCATTTTTGACCACCAATAGCAAATAAGTGTGCACTTAAAGGATCATCTTTTTCATTGTGGTAGACTCCACGATCGACAAAGTGTTGGAAATCTTTCGTCATTATATTTTTCAAGTAGTCTAAATCTACCACCATGTACATAGGTGTTAGAGCTGTAAACAATCCACCATGTTTCCACCCTTTACTTTTCATAGAATCGTAGTAGTGCTTGAGTAGTACACCAAAGTTTTCTTTGCGCTTTAAGGGATTGGCAAAGTTACCGTATGGTATACTTGGTTCTAAATATGGCAGGTTTTTTCTCTTCCAGTACTGGTACGTCCACTTATAGTAAGCTAGGATAATGGTTATCAGCGCTACGCAGATACCGACAATGTTTCCAAAAATCGAGTCGAAGATCATTTTTACTAAAAAAGAACTGTATTAGAAACTTCAAAAATTACTGAGTGTTACATACTTACTATCTTGCGACGAACTAAATAAGTGTTGTATTTATTGTAACACGTAGACGAGATTTATATTATGGTAAAATGCATTATCATCGTACTTATTCCATCGTCCGATGTTTAATTACGTTACTCACACTGGCCCAAATAAAAATAACTATCGTGTTTTTTGTAAAGGACTTTAACAGATAAGAGTGAACTGCTTATTTTTGTATGATTGTGAAATCAGAACATTTTGGAAATAAATAAACTAAAATACACATGTGGCAATGAGTTGTGAATTTGCTCAGTCTTAAAGACTTTGATTGTCTTACGATAAAGGAGATAATAATGCTATCACGGTTTATGCATTGCATGTAGTCTCGCTCGTATCCAATACCGACTTTGCTTTGAAATTTGCATTGCAAAAAAATATTTTTGCACTCGAAGGAGTAGAAGTCGGTTTCTATGACTGAAAAATCGGGAGAGAAATAGAACATTTGTTCTCTAGGGAGAGAAATAGACTATTTGCTCCCTAGGCAGAGAAATACATGATCAAATTTCCATATAAAATTTTTGTCATATGTATCACAATTAAACAGAACAGAAGGAGCTATTTATTTATTAACATTAAAAGTACAAGATACTTGACAATTGTTACAATTAATATTCGGAATCATATTAGAAACATTCGCGTCAGGCGCCAATTTTAGCAGTTGATAAAAGTCCACACTAAACATCCAAGAGATTCTATGACCTGATGGTAGAGCACTGAAAATATCGGTAAACATCGCAGTGTTCTACAGTTTTCTGTTTCGTACTGCACGGAAGTAACTTTTACTACATTTTCCGTACTGCTCAAGCCGTCCGCAGTGTTTGTCTACGCATAACTGCAAAAAAAAACTCAACTACCTGTACCTTATTGTGTTTCGGTATTAGCTATAACAGCTTTGTTTCCATAGGCGTGTAGCACATTTGACTTCAGCGTCCTCTATCGCCAAATAATTGCATATTTGGCGGATAAACCACGATAAACAATCGAAACGTCCATTTGAAAGCACGAGTGTCACGAATGTTAATCATTAGGAGAGGCGCTGCACGAAATAATGACCCCAGCGACTTTCCGTACTTTGGGCGGGACCAACAGATGGCGCAGCATGACAAGTACCCGATATTTCTACAGGTTTAAATGGCAGATTTGAATATTCTTCAATATATATAAATACATGGAACTAAAATTATTTTATTATCGACTGTAATCAATAAAACATTTTCTGCGCATCACTTCGACAATTTGTATACTTCCCATAGGCCCGTATGTATATGATTAATTAATTACTCCCTCCGTCCGAAAATATGGTATACATTTGTAATTTTATTTAATAATATGTGATAACCCAAACTTCCCGCCATTAAATTGACCCTGAGAAAGTTTGAAAGGCCCACGAAAAATTAAAAAATTCAAAGTTTGGCCTTGGCTGTGATCGTCTAACAAATGGGAACCTACGTTTTTTGAAAAGTGCCGAGAAGACGTTCTTTCATACAAGTGCATACACTGCGTGTGATTCGAGAGCGCAAGAAACAATAGACAAAATTGTTTTGGAGGGGCTACCACGGCACCCCCTCGCACGAGGAAAGAAGCTGCGAAGATTTACTCTTCAGCGCAAAAACCCCCTTGTTATATATTCACGAACATATTACATTTCAAACACCTTAAAATATATGAAAACAATATACTCGCCAATTGACAGACATACACATATGAAAAACGAACAAACGCAAAATCCTATACATCTGTTTGGAATCAATGTAAATATTTGAATATTACACATTTAATAAAACAACAAAGCAAAATCTGAATTAAGTAACTGGATGCAAATACACAAGTTATTACGGGCGTGTGGCGGCAGATTTTAAAGTTACGGCAGTTAACAGAAGCACAACAAGAGTACCCCTGGGCATTCTAGCATAAGCGGAGTTTGGAGCTACCGGTCTGGGGCTGTTCTCCCCCCACGACGGTGATTCTATCTATCACAAAGCCTACCCGCACGCATATCTCCATTACGAACTTGCCCTGCGAAACTAGGCCGCTACGATCGCCGCTACGATGGAAACATTCATCAACAAAACATTTACAAAACAGAACTTAGCAAAGATTTATCAAACAAAAGATTTGATGTGTAATAAACTTGTGCAAATAAAAATATTATGTGAAGTTAAAACTGCAAAGCATGGAAATTTACGTTAAAATTATACAACAAAGGAAAATTACTGAGGTTAAAACTGTGAGACAGAGAAATATTGTATGAGGTGAAATTTTGCCAAGTTAACAAAATTTACATGAGATTAATAATTACCACACGTTATCAACGATTCAAACAAAGAGTTTACATTATGTCAAATTATGTCATGTTCTAGGTGATTGGTTACTTCAAAAAAACAATTTACTTTGAGAGTTTAAAATACCGCGAACTGGTTACCCCAACAAAACGGATAATAAACAAACACAAAGATATCCAATCATCGCTCCGAGGGAAAAAGCGTCTCGGTGATGTAATCATGATAACGATGATAATAATGATGATAGCCGCCTAAGGGAAGAAATCATTTTAACACAGTTCGCAGTATAATGAACTTGTTTAACTGGCGTGAATGAACTATTAGCAATCTTCCTACCTATTCGTAATGAAACAACGAAGGTGTTTTTCCTGACCAAGTGAATTTCATGAAATCTTCTAGTAAGTGGTTTATTTAAATAATCCTGATCGTTAAATTGCGTTTGCACTAGCTGATTATTAAGAAAAACTAACTTGATTGGTGAATTTTCAAACAATATAACAAATTTACAGCACGTGTTTCGCGTTGAACGGAAGTCGGCAATTTTTCGATTAAAAGGCCCCAAGGATTAACCGCGCGGGTTGGGGACACCTGAATGACGTTGGCTACGATTGATTGTCGTTAAACAAAGGCTTCCTCCCATTTTATCAACTACCAAACCAACTAATTTAAACCTAGCTCTTACCACGTGTTTACAGTCACACAAGCACATTCAGAATGACTCTACGCCATGCTGCCCTTAGTCTAACCACCAACCCTCTAACTAAAAATCCCTAGCGCTAAATTGTCCGACTACCAAGCAAGCGTTTCCGTGCACCAGGTTGCTTATGTTTAACGATTTGCTTTTTGTGATTGAATTTTTTTTTCTCTTTCAAATTCAAATTATTCAAATGTGATTTCGCGCCGCTATTAATTACTTTCAGTGCGAAAATTTTGATTTAAATTCGGTCACCACAAATACGACAATACATTTCAATTTATATGCAATAGGACTTTATTTAGAGCTTCTGGAGAACATACCAATTTCGTTGGTAACCTTTCCTCACGACGAAGTTTGGATTTATTAAGATGAGGAATTTTATACTTAAAATTAAATAAATAAACAAATAAACAAAAATAAATAAAGAAATTAGTTTATTATAATATATTATTATTTACTATAATAAATAATTTATTTAATTATTCTTCCTAAAATCTCTTATTTTTTAAATTCAGCGCGGTGTTGATTTATTTTCTTGTTATTGTAGTAATTTTCTTGGTCACTTTTTTAACAGAAACAAACGTAGATCTCAGTCCACTATTTATATGATTATATGATGTTCCATCATTACACAAGTTGCAAACAAAATTACTTGATTATAATTTGCATCATCACTCGTTAATTATAATAATTTTGTAAAATGTATACTATATTTTCGGACAGAGGGAGTAATTATTATAGCAAATTGAATAGACGACAAAGTGATAAATGCGCAGCATCAACTCACATAGCCAAGGCAAACCGTATTTTCTCCCGCGCTGTGCTGTGCACTCATAGAGGAGGATCTCACCCACAATACACGTAGTGAAATTGATGGGTGCCTATAGAGCTATCGGGTACTTTAGGACCGCCAGTGCCAGGAAAGTCGACGGTCCACAGTGAATTTCATGCTTATCGTTCAGTCGAGTTCACACATTCTACGTGAAAACGTGTACATTACCAGCTCGCTCTTTTCGTTGAAATATATCGTTGTCCCGTTAAAAAGGCCAAATCTAACTTTGAAAGAAAACACCCTGTTCATGTCGTGACAAGTTTAAATTGTAGCCCTAAATGAGTTTCATAAATATCAGACTAACTTGAAAATGTTTTTCAGTTCTTCTGTGACCAAATTGGGATAACATGCATTAGTGTTTACACAGTTTTCTTGTATGGGTACTTAGGAATGGTTTTAGCACAGGCCAGATAAAGTTTTTTTGAAAAGTCGACACGCTACAGACTTTTTTTGTTTTTGTAATATTTTCGTATATTTTTCTTTTCGGCATTTGTCGTTTGCTTTTTAGAATCAGCATTAAAAAAAAAGTTTTAAAAAACTGACAACTCGTCTAAAATATATAATAAAATAAAATTCGATGAACGCAAAAGGTGTACACGAGTTGAACGAAAAAAATATACTACGGCAGAAAATTATGGTTGTATTCGTTTAAAAATTATGTTGTGCAATCTTCGTGAAGTACAGATTTTTGCCGCTCAAACAAATACCGCAGTATGATGCTTATCGATCAGTCAAGTAGAAATATTCTCCGCGAAAACATGTTCATTACCAACTTTATCACCACAGATTTAATCGCTCTATTCGTAACTCTTGCAGTTTTGTTCGTCAGCTACTGGAAATGGACATACAAATATTGGCAAAAACGCAACGTCCCATACGTGCAACCCCAAATCCCCTTTGGGAATCTCAGCAATTCCTTCAAAGGCAAAGAATACATCGGAGTCAGCCTGAAAAATATCTACGACAAAATGAAACTCGAAGGTTCGAAACATGCCGGTATCTACATGTTCAACAAATCCATCTACTTCCCGATCGATTTAGACTTCGTAAGAAACATCATAACGAAGGATTTTGACCATTTCGTCGACCGTGACTTTCACTCAAACAAAAAAGAACCTCTGCAAGGCCATCTCGGCAATCTAGAGGGCACCGAATGGAGGAATATGAGGACGAAACTAACACCAGCTTTCACTTCGGGGAAAATGAAAATGATGTTCCAGGTGATGGCAGAGTGCCAGAAGGATCTGCTAACGAAGATGCACGAAGAATGTTTGAAGAACAAGCCTATCGACATTAAAGACGTTTTGGCACGGTTTACTACAAATGTCATCGGGTCATGTGCTTTTGGCCTGGACTGTAAAGCTCTGGAAGACGAAAATTCAGAGTTCAGAAATTGTGGGAAGCAAATATTTGAAGAAACCAAATTTGAGACTTTTAAGCGACTTTTAGTGATGACGTTTCCTAACATTACCGCGTTTTTTAATATTTGGACGATACGTAAACATGTGGTTGAATTTATACTACACATAGTTGAGAACACGATAGAATACCGGGAGAAAAATAACACCAATAGGAACGATTTTTTGCAACAGATGATAAAATTGAAGAACAATCCACCTAGAAATCCTGGTGAGCATGACGGGAAACCTCTAACACTGGGTGAAGTGGTGGCCCAGTGTTTCGTTTTCTTTGCAGCGGGCTTTGAAACCTCATCAACTCTAATGTCTTTCGCGCTTTATGAGCTCGCTAAGCATCAAGACATACAAGAAAAGTTGAGAGTTGAAATTAATTCGGTTTTGGATAAGCATGACAAACAAATTACGTATGACTCGATCCAAGACATGAAGTATTTAGGTCAAGTTGTTGATGGTAAGTATTATTTTTGATAATTTTCGAAAATGAGTATTTCGTTTTAGAAACTCTAAGAAAACACCCTCCGGCACCTTTTCTTAACAGAAAATGTGTGAAGGAGTACAAAGTTCCAGGTGAAGATTTGGTAATCGAGAAGGGTATTGGTGTCATGATTTCAGTACTAGGAATACATTACGATGAAGAATATTACCCGAATCCTACGCAGTTCAATCCTGATCATTTCAGTGATGAAAATAAGAACTCAAGACATAACTTTGCATATTTGCCTTTCGGTGAAGGTCCTAGGAACTGCATTGGTACGACCATATAAAAATATTATTTTGTGTTAATACTTTTTTTAGGAATGCGTTTTGGCTTGCTTCTGTCAAAACTGGGTCTGGCTTGTTTAATAAAGAATTATAAATTCTCTATTAACAAGAAAACGCTGGAACCTCTAAGATATAAAAAAAATGGTCGTGTGCTTGCGGCAGAGGGCGAGATATGGCTGAACGCTCAAAAAATTTAGTATTTAGTTCTATATTGATTTAATATAATTGTTTCATTTATGTTGTCACTACATTTGTATGTTTAACTGATTGAATAAAAGACAATTTTATCTACATTTCTTTTGTACATTCTTCTGATTCTTATGTTGTTTTTCGGCAATTATTTGAAATTTAGTAGATTTCTCCGCAAAATATAGAAATGAAAATTCATTGGTACTGCTGGACTTAATTTAAGTATATGATGTATGCGTGATAGGATCTAACTGCGATACGTAAGTAATATTTGGTTGCCTATACCTACCTATCACCAATTTACATGGAATTAAGATGCTGAATACAAAATTAATTTATTGAAATAGTACTACTAGATTTATTCGTTTTGAATTAAGCAAAAAATGTTGTTCCTATGTCATTTTTTTGTAAAATAGAAAATGCAGTTTTTTTTCCTCTTGTGAACTCAATCCGGGGACATACTGTATAGTAAGAAAAAAAAAGCAAAATATTAAGCACGACCCACCTGTCCCGATCTCAATTGTGATGAATTTTTCCTTCGTTGTTAGACCAAGGGGCGGAGCGTAATTAATCCATATTTCCCTACAAAGATTTACCATTTTGAATATGTTTTAAGTTATAAAAAAAAGACTACGTATAGTAAGAAAAATGGACAATATATTTAAACAATTACTTTGTTTTAAATCTTAGATTCTACCGCTTGTTAAAATAGAATTCACTTCACATTTTACAACAAATAGAATAAGTTAGTGAAATGGATACAAGAAATGGGCGGAGCTGAGTTCAGGTTTTCCTGAAGAGTAAGCACTACTAATAGCATTAGTAGTAAAATTTACTTGAGTTTATATGTTGCTATAAATATTTTTGCTTTAACTCCTTAATTAAGTAAAAGGAAGACCCTTTTACTACCTATGAACCCATTTTAAACCAAACGGTACTGCTTCTAACCCTTCGTTGTTAACCTACCGCATGGCCGCCTAGGTCCTCTAATCTTAACCCTTGTAGAGTTCACATGAAACAGTTAGTACCAAACCCCGGTTAATACAGTTGAAGGATCAACAAATCCAACTGAAATGGTTGATGTATAAAGTTCGACAAATCTGGACACAATAATCATTTAATAAGATAAGCTGATGCCCGTCTGACCAACCGGGAACGCTACTTTGAAAATTTCATTTTTGTTTGACATATGTTAAAGTTGTTTAATATTTTTTTTATTTGTTTGGGTTTTCTGTCTTGGAGTTAGATGTTCAACAAATTGAACATCTAACTTCTTTATTATTATTATTTAGGTTTTTCCTAAAAAGTTTTTTTATGTTTGCCAATTTGGGTTTTATTGGACTAACAAAAGATTTGCGGTTCACCCAAGTTAGAAAAATAAATAATAAATCTCCCAGATTAAGAACTACAGACCCTGTAATTCCTAAAAGCTTTCCGGATTGTTTCCGGAGGTTTTACGATTGTGGATGAAAATCAGAAAACTTCAAGTTATTATCTCTCTTATTTATGTTTCCACAAAGCTGTTGGACCCAGAATTTTCTGAATTAAAGTTCGCTTTGTTTAGCTTGAGTACCACTATGTACCACTCTTCTTCTGGTAAATTTTCGTGCAATTTGTAAATCTGAAATAGCTGAAGCTTATAATTCATATTTGCATAACGATGAAGTGTCTGTTTACAAAAATCCTAAGGAAGTTTTCAAATTTATTCATATGAAACAAGGTCCGGCCTAAATTCCTGGTAAAATGCCCCATGAGGATGTAACATACGAATCGGCTGAACATACTGTTAATGCGTTTGCAAGGGTCTTTTCTGATATATACGGTCCTGCGTCAAACCTATCAGTTAATGATATTCATAGTAACCTACAGTCAGATAGGTTTGTACTTAACATGTGTTTCCCTTCATATTTTTTATATTTGTGGTGTAAAAATATGCAATTAAAAGTTTCATGCTAATTTGGGACTTGTAAAAATATAGTATATTTCCCACAAACTGGAGAACGGACTATGTCCTTTAATATGCCTACTAATGACGATACAGCGATACAGGGATGCAGGTGTCTCAGCCACTTACATATCTAATAATTGGGGTTGATTAGTTGGCTGAGTTTCTTTTCGTGAGTGTTATCATTGAGTTATCGGTTCTTGATGGTGTGGCGATGTGAGCGAGATTCCACGAGGGTGTAATATGTACTGCTAATCGTCATAAAATCTAATTGGATAATCTGCAATAATTCGGTGAGTCCGTTCCTTATCATTACTACTGTGTTTGACCTGATTATTGATAAGTGATACCAAGTCAGTTGTCAAATAATGTTAACAGAACTTGAAAGAAATTGAGAATGTAATAACTGATCAAATGAGCCTTGACATGTCGCGCTAATTTAATTAGCTGTCCGTCTTCCTGTGTTACCTAACTGGCAACTGGGGATAGTATGTGGGACCGTTGAGGGCACGTATTTCTCCCCTTGCCATTGCATAGTCCGGTACTACCTGTGTGAGTGTGATTATCTGTTCTAGCAGATAACCTCCTGTTGTCGCGGGGGATGTATCCGTTGTCACGGACAAAGTTGTCAGTTCTTGCGCGTCTTCAGTTTTTCCCTTGATGTCCGTGGTCAAAGGACTGGTTATCGAAGTGGGCACCTCGCGCGCCTTCAGTTTTTCCTTTGGTGTCCCTGCACTCTTTGATACTAGACCTGGGATAGTAACTGGAGTGGGGGCATCGTGCGCCTTTTTCCCTTCGCCCCATTGCACGATTTACTACTAGTCGCCATTGTCGATAGCGAAAGTAAGTACTTCGCGCGCTTTTCCTTTAGTACTCGTTGCGCACTCCGTATCAGACGATAGAGACCGTTTTGATTCCAACCTCTTGGACAGAGCTCATTGCTGTTGTATCCGGCAATATTGGAAATCGATGGCTTAATCGGAAAAGTGTTAATTTTCGGGACTAACGTTGACCACGTGGTGTAGATTTGTTTTATTGTTTGTAAATTCACCGGTCATGTTAGTTTTTTTTAATCGTCAGCTAGTGCTAACACAATTTAACAATCAGGATTATTTAAATAAACCACTTGCTAGAAGAATTTATGAATTTCTGGATACATATACGTACTTAAGTGTTACATTATAACACTTCTTAATTCTTCACACAAGATTGTTAATAGTTCATTTACGGCAGTTAAATTAACAAAATTAATTTTACTGTGGGGGGTTAAAATAAATTCTTCCCTTAGGCGGTTATCATCGTGATTAGCACCGTTATCGTTATTACAGCACCGAGACATGTCCTCTCAACGCTAAAGTTTGATTACACCACTGAGGCATGTCCTCGCCACGCTAAAGATTGATTACACTACTGAGGCATCTCCTCGTAACGCTAAAGATTGATTACATCACTGAGGCATGTCCTCACAACACTAAAGATTGATTACATCACCGAAGTTTATTCCTCGCAACGCTAAAATTTACGTCACCGAGACGCTTTTCCTCGGAACGTTAAAATTTACATCATCGACGTATTTCCTCGTAACGTTAAAATTTACATCATCGAGGCATTTCTTCGCAACGATAAAATTTACGTCACCGAGACGCTTTTTCCTCCCAACGATGACTGGATATTTTTGTGTTTATTTATGATGTGTTTTTTTTTGAGGTAACCAGTTCACGGTATATTAAACTCTCAAAGTAAATTGTTTTTAAGTAACCAATCTCTTGGACCTTGACATAATTTGACATAATATAAACTCTTTATTTGAATCATTGATAAAGTGTGGCAAGTATTAATCTCATGTAAATTTTGTTAACTTTGCAAATTTTCACCTCATACAATATTTCTCTATCTCATAGTTTTAACTTCAGTAATTTTCCTTTGTTGTATAATTTTCATTGGACGTAAATTTCAGGCTTTGCAGTTTTAACCTCACATAATATTTTTCTTTAGTGTATTTAACACCAGATCTTTTGTTTTTCATAAATCTTTACTAGTTTTGTTTTGTAAATATTTTGTTGATGAATGTTTCCATCGTATAAATCATTTGATGTCCAATTAAAATCCCACATATTTGTTGTTTAAAATTTCACAAGATTGTATGGCAAATTTAAATGTTGTTTATTGATCTTTTGAAACTCTAACACTTGTTCAGTTGTTGTTAATATCAGAGTCATAAGAAATTGAACACTTAAAATGGAATTGAGTTTAAATAACACAGAAAACATGGCAGAACCGAAGTGCGGTTCCTAGTCAACCTGGCGAGATTCATCGTGTCACCTGCACAAGAGGTACAGGTTTGGATAGATTTAGGGGCAGATAGATTCAGGGGCAGATAGATTCAAGGGCGGTCGCGCTGTCGACTTGGCCCAATAGTCGAGATCCAACTGCGGATCTGCGATCGATAGAATCACCGTAGCGGGGGGAGAACAGCCCCGACCGGTAGCCCCAAACTTCGCTTATGCTAGAACGCCTCAGGGGTATCTTTGCTGTGCTCCTGTTAAATGCCGTAACTTTAAAATTTGACGCCACACGCTCATAATAACTTGTGTATTTGCATCCAGTTACTTTCATTCAAATTTTGCTTTGTTTTTATTAAATTTGTGATATTCAGATATTTGCGTTGATTCAAAACATAAACGTAGGGTTTTTGCACTTGTTTGGTTTCCCATATGTGTATGTCTGTCAATTCGCGAGTGTCTTTTCTTTCATAATTTTACGGTATTTCATTTGACATATAATATGTGGGTGAATAAAACCCTAGGGGGTTTTTGGAGATGAAGAGCGATGGCGACCCGGTCCTCCTGGGCCGCCAGAAGGGCACGCCCGAGTTACCTTCGCTTTTTTTCCTCCTAGGGAGGGGTGCGAGTCTAGCTCCCCTCCCAAATTTTTGTCTATTATTTCTTGCACTTTCTACTCGCACGCAGTGTATGCTCACTTGTATGAAAGAACGTCTTCCCGCCACTTTTCAAAAAAAAAAAACACAACGCAGGTTTCCTTTTGTTAGACGATCGCAGCCAAGGCCAAATTTTGAATTTTTGAATTTTTCGCGGGCCTTTCAAACTTTTTCAAGTGTCAATTAAAGACGGTAAGTTTGGGTTATCACAATCTGTAACC